CAGATCTAATAATTTTGAGGTTAAGAAAGGATAACTGTTTATTGTTTTCGTGTTCTATGGTAAGATCATAACCGTTATTTATCTCATGATTATAAAAACGACCTTAATTTAGTTGCCTGAGATACGGCTGATACGAATAACAAAATCGTTTAAGCATAAAACTTAATTTTTAATTGCAACTTGGTCAGTTTCTTCGTTTTATTTAAGAATTTACTCGTATAGCTACATAAAGGCTATCTGCGCATAACTGTAGCTAACTTTGAATTGATAGATTACAGGGAAAAAAGCCAGTCATCAGAACCCACCGCAATCTCTTGAGCTAGTCTTGCCTGGATGAATAATGGAGCTGACTGTCACTCCTACAGCCGCACCCACGGCCCCAAAATGCAGAACACAATTTTACAAAAACTGGACGCAAGCTACGAACCCTTGAATTCAGCGAAAACTTGCACATTAATATGCATTACTATATTGCACATACAAGTTTAAAAATGTGGCCTGCAAAAAAAGGAATTGTAAAATAACAAATGAAGAGCGGTAAAATTCAGTTTTATCTATTAAACAGAGGGGTTTTAATCCAAATATCCATAATTTCCTTCTCTTTTTTTTTTTCAATTGGAGACAGGCAGCAAAATCTCTCTTCTTCCAATTCCAACTATCATTTTCAGAAGGTCGAGCGAGTCTCAGTGGGCAGAGTGCCAGATTTGGATCTAATGTTCCATGGCTCACGTCCAGTTCAGAAAATATCGCGCTCCTCTCTTTACAGCTGTAGATGCGTTACAACAATTACAGTGTCAAATTCCACAATTTGATTAGAATATCCCATGAGTTGGAGGTGGGTGCTGTTGACTAGCTAATGTTCCTACCGTATGTAAGCTAAAAATTACTGATGTCTAGCGCATGGACCTTGTGAAGCTGTGCGTGTTTATTCAAAACAATCACTTCTAGAAAGAAATCAAGCATTTTAGTCAAATTTTTACGCTATTTTGTTCCGAGGCAAACTTCTTTTAAATTTCAAAGTTATATCTTAGACTCCCTCTTTTCCCTCCAAAAAGAAGCTCATTTTTAAAAGAAAACTAATTTCAATTCTATTCTCACTTCTAGTGTTCCTAATGTTCTATTACTTCGAAGCATTTGGTTTTGAGTGTAATCACTGAATTTCTTGAAAATATTATTTTGATATTCTATGTTAATCCAACCCTTAGATCTGAACCATAATACCATTAAACGTGTTAATTACAGGAGAAGAACAAACCTAGTAAATGTTGCTCTAAGACATTTTAAATATTTGCCTATTTCGTAAGGTTTCAGTTGTAAAAAAATCGGGTTTATTAACAAAAGTTATATATACATTACATAAAAGATTATAAATATTCAAGACAGACATATATATATTGAATTTAAGAAATACAAGAATACAGTAAAGAATTGTCATGACCTTTCCTTGATGTACATGGAGAGGCTCTAAATCAACATCAATTATTCAAGTTCTTAAACATTATATTAAAAGGACTGTTGACATTTTACGACATATACTTTACAAAAACTTTGATTCATATTAACTATTTTTAATATATAGGAAGGAGAGCGATAAAAGTCAGCTTTAGCTATTAACCAGCTGAATAGTTTTGCAACATTCGAAGTATGTTCACTTTCTTATTTGAATAGAAATATAGTTGATGGAGATGAAAGAATACTAAAAAAACATTCTTTTTGTAACTATGATAACGGGAAGGTCGTTTGTTTTTTCTTCATCTTATCCTATATATCAGATATCTACCACCAGTTTCTGCTTGTGGACTGTGCTCTTTGTTAGTCTTAGAGAAGAAAAGGGGAAATAGCAAAATATACATACATATATAGGTGATACTTCTATCTGAGAAAAACATCTCTTTCTGATTTCGATATTCAAACACGATTTACTTAATTTAAGTGTTGCAGAAAGTTTCAGCTTTTTTCGTTCTTTTATTCTGAGAGTTTTTAGCTATTTATTTCAATAACAAGAGAGACATATACTTTCAGCTATTTTACAATGTTATCTAACTTTGCAACCAAATCCACAAACTTTTCATTCACTAGGCATTATCTCTGTTTGAAATTGTAATATCCATTGAAATAGTGTGAAAAACAAAAAATACATCTAAACATTTTCAACAGTTTATTATTTTGGTACTTCATTTTGGTTCAGTTTCTGACAAGCTAAACGTTCTCAAGCCACAAAGATATTTACTTTTTCTGAAATAACATTTCACAAAAAACATGTTCTCTTAGCTGTTCTACGTTAGGTATTTCTTTTTCTCTCTTTCCTATACATAAATTTCCTATACATTTCAAGTTTTTGATTTACGATTATCTAATAGCAAAGAAATATTCTCACTTCCTCAAAATATCGAACATAATCACAATAATATCGCGAAAATGTTAGATTTAAGTAAACTTTAGTAGCGTAAAAGATTTAATTTAATTTTTACAATAAACTTTTATTTTTTAATAACTCTTGTCCTTAACCTCTTCGAATCTTTAACCTCTAGTATTCTTATTTAGCCATTCCTACCGGTTACTTTTTTTATAGAAATATGACCAATATTAAACATTTGTTTATAAAACTTGTAATGCACTCTTGGACGTTTTACTTGTGCTTTTTTTTCTAGAAATGGTTTTGTAAAGTTACAGGAAAAAATAAAACAGGAAAGAGGATAAAGCGAAATTAATATCACCCTGTGAATATGTTAGTTTTATTTATATAACAGGTTTTGACTCTGTAATAAATCTAATATACCAAGTCCATAAACATATAGTTTAATTTTAGTAAAGTAGAACTTAAAATTAAAACATTGAAAGATACACATGTCACTCATAAAAATATACAACTTAGAACTGGATGTAGAAGATTAATGTCTTAAGTAACTTGTTTAACCAACCACAGAATGTTAAGTGCTGGAAAAAGGGTAGTTTGCCAAATAATGGTAATCATGTGACTTACGATTAATAATTGTATAACTTTAAAATTTTAACATTAAGAGCAATATACAAGTGACTGTAAAATTTACTTCAACAACAATGTACTTATGCAAAATCACAAATATATGAAAAATGTCACAAAATTAGTCAACTAGAGATATGTGGCCAACTGGCTAAAGAAAAACACGTTAGGACGAAGTCATTTCATCTACAATACCACCATTTTGGTGTTCAGTCAGAAATACTTCCAGAACTACTGACTACTTGATTTAGATTTTAAAACGTGACTATGCATCTAGTGCTAAAGCTTTTAAAGAATATGTTTAGAATTTAATAACCAAGTGACGAAAGAAGATGTAAAGTTTTCACTAATGTCAGGTGAAAATACACGTCTCTGTCTTCTAACCCGTGGTAGTGGATTATTATGAAAAAAGGACAAAAAGATGAAGACTTTAGTAACAAAAATTATAATGGTTGATATTTTCTTCCAGATGCCTTGTCTGTTATGAAGTTTGTTTTGTTGGAAAATAAAATTGTTTTGTCAAAGAGACACTGAAATAAACACTCAGAGAAGCAAAAGAAAAAAGAAAGAAATAATTAAATAAAAAGTTGTCCGTTGTTTTAGGTTTTTTTATGAAATAAAAAAAATTATCGGTGTTCTGCCAATCCTTTGAGATCAATGTAATTGAATAACCGTTCTCTAGGCTCGTGAGTTACATAGCTAAATATTATAGTCAAATCGTATTGGTTTAGAAATATATACAACTCATGTTTGCCTTTAAAAAGAGGAACAAGAATCCATGGTTTTCCTGATTAGAGAAAAAACACAGGATATCACGTTTAAGCCTAGTGCTTGACTGTGATGAACCAATTCAGTAGACCAATGATGAAAACCACGTTAATGGGGAAGTAGACTTTGAGGCCAGATGAACTTGTAGGACATCGTAGCATAGAACTTGAGATGTCATGGAGGGGAACATCACGTAGCTCCTCCGGAGTATAACATTCGGTTTCATTGGGCATGCTCACTACGCTTTTTTCACTTTCTTGCATCCACTCTCGAAACCAAACCACATCACAAGTACAATCAAAAGGATTATCTTGAAAATGGCAGCAAAAAAATATAATACTGGTTAGTCGTTTTACCAATAATAGTTTTACTTATCTTCGTGAAATACTCTAGAAATTAATGAAAAAGATACGTTTTATAATATTTTTATGACACATCATAACGTAAACTGTTGTTCAACATTTTGTTTATTTTCGAACGTCAAATACAGTATAGGGAAAACCTATGAGTGGCAACTTCATCCCACAAGACGATGATTTGTATTTAGGAGTAATTAATTTTTTCTTAACAAAACTTAGTAAGGAAGAATATAACAAAACTTGCACTTGCAGTTTTACGGACAATAACATTTAAACGAATTTTGTAGGTTCTCTTGACATTGCCAAACAAACTTAGCCACCAGAAATTACCTTATAAAAGTATATTTCAGTACAAAGAATGCATAGTACTTAGCCTCAGTTATAAACACCGTTAATCAAAAGTTCACATTTTTATTTGACAAACTGTAGTTTACTCTTCCCTCAAACGTTTTTAAAATTATCTAAGTTGACGGCAAAAGTCTGTTAATTTTCATTGAGTAAATGTTTATTGAACATTTTCCACTGTTTTATCCGCACAAGTACATATTACATTACACGCCACACTGCTATTCACAAACTGAACAGCACCGTAGATAAACGATCAGAAACTCTTTGGGTTGAAGTATAAACATTTTTACTTAAGAAGCTATAAATTTTCCATTTCTTAATAAAATATATATTCTGTAAGCTGTACTACAATATTTATTATGCAAAAATCAGCAGATGTAATAAAATTTACTCAACATTACAAAATTTCGCGGACGAGCCCATAAATTCATTCTTGTTTTTCACAAACTAGGTTTCTATATCAATTTACATACCAAGTTTTTACACTTTTATGGTAAATTAAACCCTCTTCTGGCTGCCAATTACGGAGATAGAACTTGTACAGAATACATCGACCTTTTAAAAACACACAGACGTTTCTTAACTAGTTATTAACTAGTATGTTGGGCAATTATTAGAATTATACTTCACTAGCTATAACTGATTATTTAGTACATTATGACCTCATTAATTCAATAACATTAACATTTGTTAATACTCTGTATCATTGTTAATAGATCATGATCTATTAAGCCAATTTAATATTATGACCATTTCCTCTAGTTTTGAAGGTTGGGCATTATTTAATTTATTACTTCGAGTTACCCATTGATTAAGTTGATCATGTGTGTGTGGAAAGTATGGCCTTGGAATTTGATAAGTCGTTTCTATGTGCTAGTAAGTTGTAAAACATTTTTTCTCAAGGCCTAAAGTATTACAGAGTGTGGGGAAATATTTTTGCTACTAAAAATGTGGACCTTTTCTTCTACGCAAAGGATTTAAGTGATATACATGAAGTGTTTAAATTGGAAAATCGAGAGATAGTGGATCTTTTAGATGTTCAGAATATTCGGGGTGATCAGTTTACACTCCCCCTGGATACACCCCGCTTTCCTTTATTGCATAGGTTTGATTAATTAAATTGTGGGATTTAAGGTTTTACAATTTATTAAGCTTTTTTTTATACATAACTCACTCATTTGTTTGTTTTCGATACCCGTGGTGGGCAGAGCACAGCTAGCCCTTAGTGTAGCTTTGTGCTTAACTACAAACAAACAAACACTTGTTTGTTACTTTTCGTATTCGACTGAAAATATCGTTTACAGAGAGAATACCCAACCGATGAAACAGTGCTTTCTAATCTTTAAGTAAGAATGTAAGAAAAGTGTACTTAATTAGCTACATTCATTACCAGGTTGATTTTTAATTTTTCTTTGAATAGGTAGCTTGCTCTGATTGGAAGCTAGTATTAATAAATTTTAGTTTGTTTTTTTTTCTTTATTTTCTGTATCTTCCCGCTACTCACTCTGGCTGAATAATAACGTGAGTCTGAAGCAATTCATTTTTAATATTAAATTCATTATAGTTACACTGTCGAGGTGAAGAAATCAATTTTAACTGGTCATTCGATTATTTGGAAGAATTACATAGCATCACGCTCTCCAAGGAAATCAGTCATATAACATTGTTATAATTCTCCTATAGGTGACTAGTATTCTTTTGTTTATGAGTTTAGCCTATATTTATTTTTTTAATCAGTTTTTGATGTTACATGTACACTGTTGTAAATATACGAACGCATATAAATATATTCATGTTTTTTATATTTGTGAACTCTGTGGATCTTAGGGGCAAACAACTGGATTTTACGCGTTTTTTTTAAAGTAAAAATGACATACTCCAATTTTAAAATTAAGTTCATTAATAATTAAAAATTCTTGTGAATATTATTTTATTACGTCTCCGCAGAGAGATATACAGTTTTCTATTGTTTCTTCTTCCAAAAACTTTTCAACCGACCGTCATTCCTTCATTTCTCGGCCATTGGTTTGACACTTGGTAGGGTTATACCTTGCTTTAATACGCCTAGAAAACTTTTCCATTTATTTATTTAGGCCTTTTTATGGATTTTATATGGTCAAAAGTCAAACAACTCAAAAATGTATATTTTAGGCTCCTTTACGGATATATTTATAGCAATCAAGAAAAAATTGGCACAAATATCAATTTTTCACGCTTACAGATCTCACAAAAAAGTATAATTTTGGGGTTTTGGGTCAATTACTCGGCTGTATATTGACCAGTTTACATGAGATTTAGTATAAAAATCGTTTTTTACAGGCCCCACACATTGACTAACAGAAATAGTGAACTTGTTCATTGTTAGTAATTATACAGGAGTCAAGATGCCACAATAAACATAATTTTAGGGTTTGTTGACAATTACTCCGCTGTATTTCATCCAATTTACATGGGATTTGGTGCAAAGACAGGAAATGATTTGATTTTTGATTATTTTTAGGGGTCAAAGGGTTAAATAAACCCATAATTTTAGGGGATTGATCAATTACTTAGCCATATTTCGAGAAATTTACGTGGGATTTAGTACAAAGATACCAAACAGAGATATAGACAATTTTGGAAATTTTGTCTTTTAGTGCATTGTGAGGTTTTCGTGAACTATTCATGTGTATGCCAAACAACTTGCATGGGATTTGGCACAAAGATACCTTCTTGCAGGTCCCAAGCAGTGATATAGACAGCGTTTGATTTTAAACTGACTTTCATGATTTTTCTGGTGTCAAAATTGGCCATGTTGGGATTGCTTGGTGGAGACATGTTGCATTCGTCCACGAATGTTGGCCTCTTCAACTTTTAAAAAATCGTTTTTTAAGTTTTAATTATTTGTGGAATATTATAAAATTAATACATTTCTAAACACTAATCTTCACCTCAGATATTTTAGTGTTATAATTAATTCTACACTTAGAAAGATAATTCTGAATTGTAAGCTTATTACATAAATTAGGTTTAATCTAAGTATTTTAAGTTAAACTGGCTGAATCTTGTAATATATTATTAGGATCATGCTCGAAAAATACTGTTAATTAGCAATATTATAAAGTGATTGCTCTATGTATTATAATCATTAAAGGTCTTAATTTTTTCGTAATTATGTATTCTTAATTCTTTTTAATCTTAAGTTTTATAAAGTACAAATAATTGTTTGAAACTTACATCTTATAAACCATGTACCCAATTTTTTAATCATAATTCTTATAAACTATCCATAGCTCTATAAATCTTAAAAACCGTTGAATACTCATTAGTCTTTAACTTAAATTAAGTATCTAGATGAAGTTTTCTTTAGCTCAGATTTTAACAAACTGTGTAAAAGTAATACTAATGTGTAATAAACTAAATGATTAAAATGATTTGAAATCATAGTTCCTCTGATTTTTGTATAAACTTTATTACCACAATCAACATATTCACTCCAGTTAAGTTCTCTTACAACTGTGTAAACTAAAGTTTAATTGATAAGTAAAAACTATAGGATATAATATACACTCACCGTGGATGTCCAGAATTTCGATAGTGTACCGGATTTTTTCGAATGTAGCCTCATCAACAGTTCGAAGTTTGTTAGATTGTAGGTAGAGCCACCGTAAGGTACTGTTAAGATTATCCAAGGCTTCTTTATCAATCTCAGCGATCCTGTTCAAACAGATTTACAAGAATTACACAACATGTCTTAAGTAATTAAAAAGAAAAAAATACCAAAAATGGAGGGAGAAGGAGGAAAGTTTATTTATGATTACATTTGAATTATTGAATACACTATGAAATTTTCACCTTACTTCCGCAGCAATTTGTATTATGATATCAAGTACTGATCATCTACCGGCTAGGGTAATAATTTAAAGAATAAATGTTATATTTCGACGAAATAAAAGCAGAGATTGTATAGTATCCTATAAATAGAGCGTATGATATAATATCATCCAAACAGAGTATGTTCTTATTTACGAGTACAATCCAAGATCATTCTGTAACTTGTTATTAAATGACATTTTAAAATATACGGAATAAATGACTCTGATTTATTTTTCAAAATTTATGCTACAGATAACATTGTCCCTTACTGTGACAGCGGTAAGTCTACGGATTTACAGCTCGGCATGGCTAGGTGGTTAGGGCGCTCGACTCGCAATTTGCGGTCGCGGGTTCGAATCCCCGTCCCACCAAACATGTTCGCCATTTCAGCCATGGGGGTGTTATAAAGTGACGGTCAATCCCACTATTTGTTGGTAAAAGAGTAGCCAAAGAGTTGGCGGTGAGTGATGATGACTAGCTGCTTTCCCTCTAGGCTAAATTATGGACGACTAGCGCAGATGGCTCTCGTGTAGCTTTGCGCGAAATTCATAACAAACCAATCTACGAATTTACAAAGCTAAAATTAGGATTAGATTCCCCTCGGTGGACACAGCAGATAGCCCGACGTGGCTTTGCTATAAGAAAAATACAAACACACAGAAAACATTAAAAAATCTCTTAATTTGGAGAAAATTATTCATTTTACTCTTCTAAACTTCTTTAGTCATAGCCCCCCATTGGCACAGCGGCATGTCTGCGGACTTACAACGCTAGATAGCCCATTGTGTAGCTTTGTGCTTAACTTCAAATAAAACAATAAAATAAAAAAACCTTAGTCAATAAACTACATTTGATAAAAGAATACGAGACAACCTAAGTTACAGAGAAGCAAATGACATAAAAGATATATATATCCTCAAACGATGGAATTGTATTTAACTTACATGTTGTTTTGGAGGAAGATGTACTTTAGGTGAATTCCATAAGGATAGAAAGCGTTCCTTTCTATTTTCGATATGCTGTTGTTCCTGAGATCAAGTTCTCGTAATGTCTTGAGATGTTTAAGAGCTGCAACAGGAAAAGATTCCAAACGATTGTGGCCAAGTTTCAACCAAGCCAAAGTATCTGGTCAAAAAGAAAAAGAACTGAAATCAAAAATATTATCATATCGTATAGATCAGAATTTCTTAATTGCGGGAAAATTGCACAATATTTTCACGTTTTTTTTATAAGCTTGCTCAGCTTTTGTATTATAAACTGTTGAATAAAATTTATGAAGACAAAACCTATCTTACAATCAAATGCATTTTTCAAACAATAAATAATACAAGAGAGTAGACAAAGCCGTCGGTCACATGCTTCTG